AAACGCGCAGCAACAAATCCTATAACGCACTGAGTGATTGGGGAAGTTTGCGTGTTGCGGCGGAAAATTGAAGCACGTGGGGTGAAGTAAGGTCAAAATGCATCAACACGACGAATCTAATATGGCATAAAAACAGTGCCATACTTGACGGAGTTCGGCTACATCGAGGCTCACTGCAGTAAAAAGACATATGGAGGATCAGATATCAGGTAAAGCAGCGCACAGCTACAAACACTCACCCGGATTAGCATGACGGTCAGAAAGCTAAACAAATAACCTGGAAAATGATTTAAGTCTTCGAGCTGCGATGTCAGACGCTGGTTCTGCTCTCGTTGTTGTCGTTGGTAGCCAATGTACTAAAGCGCTAATGGTTTTAAGATGTGTCTACTGCACGATACTACAGTGTTTTGTCCTCTTGAGCTTATTTCTCTGAGTCAAAGCTGTCATTATTTTAGAAACACAATAATTCAACCAGAGCCTTAGTGAACTGCCTCTCCTGGAAATATCTGATGACTTTGTGAACTCTGGCTCTCCTCTGACAGAAGTCATTGGCAGAATCCTAAATATGTAAACTTTTTCCAGTGACAGCTCCTGTCAGTTCTGATTTTGAAATAACTTCTTGTGTCACTTCAAGCTCTGACCTCTCCGTGCATTTCAACATGAATCTCATCTGCCAAGCACCCAGATTTGGAAGAAACAAGAGCTACAAGAAGCTACTGTCTTAAAAAAGTAAGAAAGATGTTTAAACATTCACTCAAGTCACAGGACTTGGGTAACTCTAGGATGGCTCTTTTTACTTATGTGATTTTGAATATAACATTTAAAAAAAGCTCAGAAGAAATAAGGGATGACATTCATGCTTTTTATGGAAGGGAAGAAATCAAAAGGCTTTTACAGAGCAGTGGACTCTGCATCAAAGAGCTTGTGCCTGTTAGATTGAAACCAATGACGCACAAACCAAAGCCTGGATCCTGGTCTCTTAAATTACTCCAGTGGACATTAACTGATTATGTTTGTCTACGGAGGAATGGTGGTTCTTTGTGGCCGAGAGCGTAAACAAGAAAATCGTTCATTATGATTAACACACAAATTAAGACAAATTACTGCCACAAACCCGCGCAGATACACTCACACATGTGGACAAAACTAAAAATAGTTGCATCAACGCCACGGTATGTTAGTGTTAGCAGCAACAGGGAGGGAGATGGATCAAAGTAATGAACCCTCATGGGCTTTAGCTAAGACACACTTCG